GGTTGAGCTATAGGCGCCGAGCCCACCTTTTTGTTTTTAAGCCACGTATACATCTTTAATCCATTTTTGAACATTAAAAATAATCATGTAAGGCAGGATATTCACAAAAGAAATACAAATACCTCAAAATATTGAGTGATATTAAATATTTTTAGTATAACCAAAAGCCCAGTTAAGACATCTATGTGATACAACTCCCCCATTTGTATTGGTAAAGATTAAAAGTAAATATTAAATAATTTGCTGAATTAATTAATGATTGAAATACTTAATGTTGTTGATGATATGGAGAAGATGATTCCACTCATTCTCTGTTAGTGAGAATGTAAATTGGTACAATGTTTCTGGAAGATAATTTAGGACTTAATCTTAAAGTATTTGATGAACATGAATCATTTCACCAACAGTTTATCTGTGAATGTATATTAACATGTTTATAAAGGTATAATTAGTAAAGATATGGGTTACACACATGCTTATTCTATTGTTGTTTATAATAATGAGAACTTTTAGGGAGAAAATAATCACAAAAATTCATAAAAAGATTAGTTAAATAAACCATGGTGCATTCATATCATGCAATTATTAAATATGAGGGTGTACCCACATTTGTTGCCACAGAAAAATGTCATGTTTTATTGTTAGTTAAAAAGCAGGATACAGAAAAGGTAAAGTATGATCTCTATGGGCACAGACAATAAATTGGAAAAATGTATGGTAGGGCTATGGTTGATTTTTATTTTCTTCTTTGTGCTTTTCAATGTTGTATAAATTCTTTAAAAATATGAATTTATAATTAGAAAATATAACTGTTTTAGTTAGGTGAAATGTTTCATGAATCAAATTAAAAGATAAATAAAAATATCTAGTAATAGAAAACATAACAAATCCTGTAGTTAATATACAACGAGTTCTTACAAGTGAATAACACCAATGGGAAAGTAGGAAAAGACCAAATATAAAAAGATAAAAAGAAGCCTTAATTTTAATTAAAGGCTTAAATTTCTTTGTTTCTTTAAAGAAATAGCAATGCCCAGTGAATATGTGAAAAATTGCAATCCTAGTTGTAACTAAATGATGCATACTAATTCAATGAAAACCTCTATTTTTAGTATGTGTATACTCACATATATATGTCAAATTTGCAAATGTTTATGAAGGATAATAAAGATAGAACAATTTTGATAATGGTGCATTGGTACATTTTCTTATAACCCAATAATGGGAAAACAAGTGCATGTATATATACAATGTTTTAGAAAAACCCTCAATAATATATAGCAAGGATGTTAAAAATATAGACCTTTCTGATCAATAATTTCTATCCACAAGCATATTCTTGGAAAATAGAATATTAGAGTTTGGGATAAAAACATACGTTTAAGAATGCTCGTCAAGCATAAATAATGGCAAAAAATTGGAAACCATCTAAATTCCCAATGATAAGCAATAGTTACATATATTTTGGTACAGTAACACCAAATAGCCAATAAACTGATTTTAATTTAAGTAACAGGCTTAACTATATGGCAAAAAGGCCTTAAGAGTAAATGAAAAATATCAGGGCATAACTATAAAATAAACCTCCCATTTTGTTAAAATACCTTTGTATTTTAAAAAGTCTAAAAGGAAACATACCTGTCAGGTTAATGTGAATTACACCTGGGTGGTAGGATTACCAGTAATTTAGTTTTCTCCTGCCAATGAAACTGTATGAAACTATCAATATTCTACTGTTTTAGACCCTCGGAATAGGAACATAAAGTTCAAACTAACACTTTTCTGATTTTTTTCTTAGTTTCTATGGTTAACGTGTCTTAGTTTTAAAATCAGGAAGGTGACTTGAAAGCATTTACAGGAGGATGATGTGATGGCATGACGTAATAATGATGATGATAACTTTTGTTATAAAGTACCTTTGCATCTATCAGTGCATAACAATTATTCCAGCAAAAACAATTTAACACTGCATTCTGTAAAGTGATGTAAAAAATTACGGTATTTTTATTTGGAATCCACAGAGATGAAAGGATTATTTTAGAAAATAAATACTAACCCAGCAACAAACTAGATGAATGTGGGTATCACAGGAGACAAGCCTGGTCGCCTGAGTCTTTTCTTCCCATTTTTCTTGTGTTTTCTTCTTTTCTGTCCTCACTATTCTTCCTTCTTTTTTCTCTCTCTTTTTTTAATTTGTTCCCCTCACTTCCTTTTTTCTCTTCTTCTCACTTGATGTCTTGCTCAGTTTTTAGTTCTTTTTGCATTTAATTGTTTCAATCTTTGTAATTTATTATGCTAGTAAATACCACATGTCTAAGGACTGGTTTTATTTAGTACCGGGATAAAAAGTTATCAAAACTGAAGTTCCTCCTGCAAATTCCACATTCCTCTGGGTGCTAGGAAACAGCGTGAGATAGTATCTGGGGGCCAAGGATAAACCTACCAGCCCAGAGTGTCTTTGTTCTATGGGGAGTTACCATGTGGTCCTTGACCTCAGATTACATATGTGCCTGTCATCAAGAAGAATACCACAATTCCTTCACTCTTTTCAACCCAGATGCCTTGGGTTATCTCTGCGCATTTTCATTAAATAAATTTGAATTAGTATTGGCCTTGGAGGACAGTATAGCAGTGAACTTGAGGCAATGGTTTTAGCTTTAGTAGGACTTGGCCTACATAATGGGGCTAGCAAACTGTGAACCAGGAAACTAGTGTTTCCTTTTCTTAAAGCATAAGAGACGTAGGTAAACTAATGGTAAAAAAAATTGCAAGGGCCACTTTAATTACTTAAAAAAAGGACACTTTGGAAAATAATTTCTAATTTCTAACTTCTTTTTTTTTTTCAATCATCATCTCAAATTTTTTTTTAATTGTTGGAGTACGGAGAACCAGGTTACACTGATTGCTTTGTTAGGTAAAGTCCCTGTTATAATTATGTCCTGCCTCCAAGAGGTGTGTCACACACCGTGACCTCCCACCCCCTCTCACCTTCCTTCCCTCTCTTCCAGCTAGAATTTCTAACTTCTGATTTTGCCAATACGGGCAATTACAAAACATACTTTATTGAACTAGTTTTAAAATCTAGCTTGAGAACTCCCATGTTCCTTCTTGACAAATATTTATTATTTGGATCTTCGTGGGAGGACAGTTTTGCTAACTTAAAGGATGGGAATTTGGCTCGCAGGGTGTTGACGCTGAGGAGTGTGAAAACTGAGAGCTGTTTATTATCCCTGGCCTGAGTGTCGGTCATCGACGGTCCAAGGCCCTCTCATAAGACACACAGAGAGTTTGGTTTCTGGGTTGCCTTGACCGACACCAAACCTCCTCCCATGGACCTTCCCGTGCGGGCAGGAAGCGCGGCCTGGGGCTCCCGGCCATTTGTGCAGGGGTCCCGGGCAGGCCCCGGGAAAGCGAAAGCGCCTCATCTTTACTGGGGTGTGTTTCATCTTGGCCACACTTACGTCATTTCCTTTGGCAAATGAGCGAGAAGCCTTGATTCCCGGAGCATGCCGATGGTTGATCGCCAGTGGTGATTCTCCAGCACGGACATATTCTAGAAAGAAAGAGGAAGCAAAAACAGCTCTAAACGAGAGGGAAGGCAGCTGCTGAGCTTTCGTGCTGGACACAGCGCCACCGAGGCCTGGGTTTGCCCTCCAGTCAGTTCATACCTGACCACGCAGAGGCCGACCAGAAAAGAAACACAAGATCAACCCCCCACGAGGTCTGCTCTCCAGGCTGGGATGAGAGGGCGGACTGGCAGGGTTGACCCTCTGCTGCAGGGGTGAATGAGGGTCTGTTTTCACTCACTCCTGCTTGTGGCCCTGTTTTCAATAGCTCAGCAAGGCAACACGAAATGTAGATGAAAAAAAGCAAAGCAGTTAAAAATATGTAGTGATAGATGCCCTGGTGCTATAGTCATAACATAATCGCAGTTTATACCACCAGCCTGTACAGAGGCCGGCCTCACCACCTCTGGTCTAATCTATCCCCGGACTATTGTTTCTCAATACCATTAACAACCTCGTAAATCCAAACCACCGCGGAGCTAGTGACACATTCAGACCCCCTTATGGTCTTGAATCAATAGGTCTGTGGTGATTAATTCTTAGGTACACTAAAATTTGAGAACCACTGCCAATAATCTTCATGACCAGGATGCTGGCATATAGCCCAGGACGTCTATGAGTTGGAATCCACAATTGCTTCCTGGTTTAATTACTTTAGTGTTTTTCCCCTTGTGAGAACCTCTATTATGTTCAATCTCCTTTGACGTTGCTGTTATTTTAAATATGCTTATTACCTGAACATTTAACTAACCATTCCAATGACGAGTATGTCTCACACTCCCTTGTGTTTTTTCTAACTAACATTATGGTTTTACCACTGACTTCATACACTTACATAGTAAAATAGAACCTGTCTTGAGCTTGGGCAATTATTTTTGCTTTGTTTTCTTATTTATTCATTTATTATACGTCTTGTTTTAAGAGGGATTATAAACTTACAAAAAGTACAAGAGGATAGTTGCTATGTTTATTTTTTAGAGACAGAGTCTCACTTTATTGCTCTCCATAGAATGCTGTGGCGTCACAGCTCACAGCAACCTCCAACTCCTGGGCTTAGGTGATTCTCTTGCGTCAGCCTCCCGAGTAGCTGGGACTACAGGTGCCCACCATAGTGCCTGGCTATTTTTTTGTTGCAGTTTGGCCAGGGAGGGTTTGAACCTACCACCCTTGGTATATGGGGCAGGCACCCTACTCACTGAGCCACAGGCACCACCCTAGTTGCTATGTTTTGAGTGTCCTCTCTAAAGCTCTTGTTGAAACTCAATCCCCAGCATTGAGGATTGAGTGGCAGTAGTGAGAGGTGATTGGGTCGGGGGGAGACAACCCTCACAAATGGCTGAATCCATTCCTGGATGAATGTGTTATTGTGGGAGGGGGGCCGAGAGCTTTATAAGAAGGGGAAGAGAGACAGGCTGGCATGTCAGCACGCTCGGCCTCCTCACCAAGTGATGCCCTGCGCTGCCTCCAGACTGCACGGAGTCCCTGTCAGCAAGAGGGCCCTCACCAGATGTGGTGCCTTGACCTTGGCCTTCTCAGCCTCTATAACTGTAAGAAATAAACTTTACTTTCTTGTGAATTCAGGTATTCTATTACAAGCAACAGGAAGTGGACTAAGACGATAGCATTTGTTAAAAGAGCCACCATATGATTCCACTCATATGAGGTACCTAGAGCGGTCACAGTCACAGAGATGGCCAGTAGAATATTAGTTGCCAGGGGCTGGGGAAGGGAGGGACGGGCAGTTATTGTTTGATGGGTATGGAATTTCAGTTATGCATCATGAAAAGAGTTCTAGGGATGGAGGTTGGTGACAGGTGCCGAACATTATACATATACTTCACCCCACAGAATTGTATAGTCAAAATGGTTAAGGTGGTTAAGTTTTATATTACGTGCACTTTAAAAAAAAGTGAGGGGAGAGAAAGCAAAGAAATAATATGGAGACTAAAGAGTGAGACCGCAAACCATCCCATCACTCTGCTCCAACTGTATCTGAGCCTCCTGTGTACTACTCAACTTTTCCACCAATCGTGATAGAGAATCACTGGCGAGTGATGCAGTTTGGGGTCCACTAGCAAAGCACAAACGCAAGAGAGCCTCAAGTATTCTTGGTTCTAAAACCAATACACCAATTTCTCTTTAGGGCTTTGTTATGATGAATTTCATGAGGCCGCGTCTCACACTACCCTCTGTCGAGGATGTGTCTATTGCCAGATGTTTCTCTCATTGCCAAGGAGTGACTATTCTTTATTTACCACTTGACCACATTTGAAGCAGTGATGAATGTGGTTGCCTTTTATCACCTGGTCTATTATCTCCTTTTGGGCATGAGCCAAACGCAACAAAAGAGAAAGCTGATTAGCAATAACATGCCAGACTAACTTGTTTTGATTGTAAAGATTTATGGAAACAGAGAATCATAGGTTGGTGTGAGGCAACAGCTGTTCAATCTTGCTATGACATTTAATTCAGTCACTCATGAGTTCACTGGCGAGACTGATTCAAGTAGATGTGGACACGAGTGTCCTCATGTGAGTTTTTTAAGGGGCTAGAAAACTGTAGCAAGACTTAATGATAAATGACACCATATCTCTGCTGACACACAACAGAAGTGTCTGGAAGATGGCTTTCAGCGTTGTTATTTACGCCAGCCTGACTTAACGTCTTCATTAATAACCTTCCTAAAGACAGAATAAAAGGATGCTTGGGAAATTTGCTGGTGAGACCATATTTAGAGGTAAGTACCAAAGAAATGGAAGGAAATTGAGTGGGTTTGGAAGCTGGCACAGAATAAAAGACAGCAGTGTAGATGATTTCAAAGACACCCTTTTGTGGGAGAGCCACCATGTAGAGAAGTATGTTTTGACTAGAACTGTGTTGGAAGAAAGGACGCCCTGGTGGATTTCTTTCTTTGTTTCTTTCTTTTTAATTAAATCATGGCTGTGTGCATTAGTGCAATCATGGGGATGTGCTGGCTTTATATACCATTTGAAGTATTCTCATCAAACTGGTTAACATAGCCCCTGGTGGATTTCAGAGAGTAAGGGAAGAAGGGCAGCACAGGGAGGGAGGACTAACATTTATCAAGCACCAGTTCTGTGTCAGGCACTGTATATGCTCTTGTCTAAACGTCACATACCCCTCTACTGCTTGCATCATTAATTCATCGATGATAAAATCCTGGGTTTCTCCGGGAGGCCACCAGGAATTGAGTGGCTGAGGAAGGTTAACGCAGGTCTTCCAGACTCAAGACTTACGCTCTGCCTACACCCCTTGGTTCTCCCAAGGATTTCCTCTGTCTGCCACCTCCCAGCATTCAGAAGCCGATGAATGCCTGCATTTATACTTAATTTCCCAAAAGGCTACTGTAGTTGCCTAAAAAAATCTATGGTTGATTATTTTAATTAGATGTTAGATTCTAAACCCACATTGGAATCTTTGCATTTATCTCTGAATCTGAGTTCACTGCTATAAATCCCGTGTTTAATGTGTCATGAGTTGAGTAGACAGATTGAACTCATTGTTCATGCACTTGCAACCTCACCTCCCATCCGTCTCTGAATTCTGTGTGGTTTTTGCTACATGGTGTCTCTTGTTGACTTATCCCTTCTTATCTAGTCCTTCCTTTCCCTGAAGAGACCCTATTTGGGGCCTTTCTGATGCTTCTAAACGATCCTTCCTTCAATCCATCCTCACTACAGTTACTAAAATGTGACTTGTTTATTTGACAAGACAAGACACCCTCTCCCTAATCATTTGTTGAAGCATAAATAAACATTTATTGAGCACTCGCTAACATTCGAGGTGCTGTGGCAGGCGTGGGAGATCCAAGGATGAGTGAGACAAAACAGCTGCCCTCCAGGAGTGCCCCTGCCTGTAGTATGATCATGACACCTGCTTTCCCCCATGCCCTGCTCCAAACCCCACAGCAGACCCCTTCCAGATAAGTTAAGACTAATTTCTTAGCTTAGCGTTCAGTGCTTTCTGAAAATCCCCCAATGATCATTCCTGTCCTGTATATTTGAGATAATTCAATCCACATACCTCTCCTTTCCTTCAAAGCTGTTACAGTCCAAAGAAATAATATCATGTTAATAAGACTATAACTTATTAATAAAAATATTAAATTATTAGTATATGGCAGTGTCTTTTTCTTTTGCTCCTTGCAAGCCTTTCAAGGTGGTTTATTATCCTCAAACCCTTCTTTCTCTACATTTATTTATCAACCTGCCACCCAAATTCAAATACTCCATCCACACGCCATCTGCCGTCTCCCCGGTCAGAGGTGAAGTTTCTCTGCCTGAGTCTAATACTTTTTTTTTTTTTTTTTAATTTTCCTTTGTTATTCTTCAAGTCCTGGGTTAGGTTGAACTCAGTCCTGTTTTTTATGTGTGTTAGAGTTATTTATGCCATACCTCTTCCTCTTACTTATAAGCCTTGTATGAGTAGGAAGCCTGCTGTGTTCCTTTGGTACCCACTCAAATCTATGCCTGGCACAGAGTTTCTATAGACTTGCTAAGTAAGTTACTGAACAAGTTACTCAATTTCATTCCACAAATGTACTGAACACTTACAATATTCCAGGCACTGTGACACATGCTTGGAATACGTCAGTGAACAAAACAGACAAGGATGGTAAGGATGGGCAGAGACAGACAATAAATAACAAACATAATACAGACTTTGATTTGGAAAAACCACATAGCACGTTAGAAGATAGTAAATGTGTGGAGAGAAGCATGGGTGGGGGCTGGTAAGGTAGTCAGGGTGAGAGGTGAGATTCGAACAAAGACTAGAAGGCAGGAGGGAGTTAGCCATACTGCTGTCTGGAAGAAGAATGTTCCAGAGGCAGCAGCAAAGAACTGTGAGGTCAATGCACAGTGGGAGAAGGCAAGTGTAAGTTAGAGAGGTTAGGAGGCACAGGCAAAGCCTCCTGGCTATTATAAGGATTTTTACTCTGAGAGAAATAAGGAGCCTCTGCAAGGGG